GCTAATATAAATAAGGAGGAACCAAGCAGACAGACATACACACACGAAGAAAGGTGGGTTCTTAAGGAATCGCTTGAGCTCCCTTCCATTTTGTGTTAAAGTGTGTGATGCAAAGTTTTGATGGTCGATCCCTTCAGAGGACGACGGCGGAAGAAGACGTTTTTGCAACTGTCATTCGGCTTACTGGAACGTTCTGGTTAATGTTGTCCTTGAGGCAATCTCTTTGTGTTCTACTAGAAGTGTGTTAAGCTTTAGTCTGTCGTGTGATGGACATCATCACTTCATATCTCACAAATGTTCATGCTTAGGATTTGTATAGCATTTTGGGTACAGAACGATGAGTTTTCTTGCCTCGTTGGCTTGATCTAGTTGTAAGCATGACAACCAGCTTTGAAGATGCCCATCAAGAAGCATGACAGACGAAAGTTCAGCCGAACGACAGCTCACCAAGAGGATTGAGTGGTCGTATTCTGCAGAGATTGCCCTTTGAGTCAATTCTTCACAAACTTTCACTCAAAATTGAAGAGAACTCAAGAGAGACGAATAAAAAGAGCTGTTTTTGCGGACATCCTGCAAAATAGACTTCCCCGACTCTATGAAAATTCTCCCCTTAGAGCCGTCCTAGGCATCCTGGAGACTGCTGTAACTCGATGAATGTGTGATGTTTGCTTGTTCTTGCTAGCCTGACTTCGACAAACACTTTGGAATTCTACGCCTAGGATAAACTGCAATAGAAGGCAGAAAACCGTAGGGCAAACCAACAAGTGCGCACGAACAGGGATAAGTATAGAAACGGTCTAAAAAGGTCTGCTAGGAAAGCTTCACTACATACCTTTCACATGAAGCTATGGTGGAAAATCCAAACAATAAAATGTGAACCAACCGGATATGCTGTGACTATCATCCCTTCGGGAGGGAGTTCATTTGCCGGCCGAATTCTGCTAGGCCAGTAGGACCCAAACCAGTCGAGGCTTCCGACCATTATCAGTCCAAGGTGTTCATTCTGGAAGGTCCGTGAAAATGCTTATTTCTTGTCGTGTGACCGACTGTGGGATTCTGGCCTGCATGGCCCGCATGCAAATTTAGAGTCTAGACAGAAAAGCAGTGTTGTGCGGGCCATACCCAGCTGAGGGTAGAACAAATGGACATGCGTGGAGTGATGAAGACGTCAGCATTTGTTGAACAACCGATATACAAACGGGTCATGTGGTCTGGCTGTTGGGTGTTCAAGGTTGTATGTTGAATGTTGGGTGTCTCGAACTTGCCAACCAGCCAACCAGTTGCAATCGTCCAATTTTCTTGTGCTAGTGGCTCAATTCTACCCGGTCTTTCCGACGTTCTGCTTACAAATCTGTTTGTCCCTCCGTCTCCATCCGTCGGCCCTTCGCACTGGTCATCGGTTATTTACTTGTCCACTCTGCCTATCTGGCAGGAGCCGAGTTAACAAGTGAGCAGTAAAGTAAGCCGATCCGCAAGTCGGCAAGTGCGTCGGTTTTTCGGCTTGCCTGCGTTCGGTAAAGTTAAGCTCAGCAATAAACAAAACGACAAATCGGGTTCCGAAAGCCACCTAACAAAAACGCTTTTCGTTCATAACCATGGTTTTGAGATTAGCAGTAAATCAGTTAGATGGGATGTATTCGCCTTTTTCGTGCAAGGTGGATAAATGACTGATATTTGAATTTTCCCACAATGATATTATAGAGAAAATGTAGCCTTGCTTCATCGACAATCCCACCAAATATGCGTGTCTTTTCTTAAAATTCACATCCGCCCTGTGACACAAGGGTATTCGTGCCAATGTGGTCTGGTGGTTAGCATGTCGAGATCGCACGCTGGTTCTATTCCCGCTATGGGGTATCGATAAGACCTAGGCGAGGTCGAAACTGCAGTCCACTCCTGCCTGGATGATAGCACCTTTTGGGATGCAAGGCTATGTGAAGTTCAATGGATTGTGGGAAATTGCAACTAACAATCCTTCATCACCTTAAACGAAACATGGTGAATACACGAAGGTATAAAGACCAAGATGGTGTGGCCTTTTGTGTGGTTGCAGTCTCCTTTCGTTGAATAGAAATTGTTTGACCTTGTTTTCGCAACTCGGTCATATTGGTAGAAAGACTTAAAGAAACGCACCTAGTCCGGAGTCCATTGTATGCATCATCGTTTCCAGAGTAGG